TCAAATTTTCTGTAATTTTCGCAACATGCAAGTTTTATTCATTAATGATTACTAAAATATAAATTACAACAGTATAATATGACATACCTCTCAGATGCTTTTGTAGTTGCATCCTCATTTGCGTTTAACATCATTTGATACTCGGATACTACGTCATTTGGTGTATGAATTTTTAGCTCATTTGCGTATACAAAAGATGTGAATGATCATGCAAATGACATAATCACCTTTCGTTTACTAAATGAGGATCGTTCATTAACCAAACGAGAATTTGTTCAACATTTTGGTCTCCCATGGTTTGATGAAGCACGTACATATGATTCTCTTGTGGGGTATGAATTGTGGAGAAGAATGACCGGAAAGAATGTGGTTGATCTATCTAAACTGAGTGTGAATCGTGTGCAACATATGGTCTTCTGACTATTCTTAAAATTTTGCTCAAATTGTTTCCTCGGAAGACCGAATAATCATCACACACGTATCTGGGATGTGTGTGTTCTAGCACAAGCTGTTTTGCCGGGCCCAAATCAAGTTGATGTTTCCACCATCGTATGGACTCATTTCAACAACGTGGCAACATCAACAGGACCAATTGCTATGGGGGGCCTCATCACACATCTAGCCACTTTATATGGTTTTATAGACCCCGGCCCCATCACCTCAAGACACCTTATTTGCACTGAATGGCTTTTACAAAAGACGCTAGACTTGGTCCCCTCGCACACAACACCAACTGGGGCACACATCTATAATTGGCGCATTCTCCCACGCACTTCCATCTACCTCCAGATACCCTCGCCCGACGTCCCCCTGGATATCATCAATCACCAAATCGGGGATGGTCATCACTATTGTCTTCCCAGGGCAATCCCGGATCATTATGAAGAACCCATCCAAGATGAAGATGATGAAGAACCCCCAATCATACCCGAACAACCACAACCTCAAGCATTCCACTACACACCTTTCGAGCAACAAATGCTCGATAACATGGTCACGCTCAACCAGAGCATTGTGAGGATGGAGGAGCAGCGGCAAGTAGACTGGAGTATGTATGAGGAAGACAGGCGGAGATCTGAGGAGGATCAGCGTAGAACCTTTGGTCCGATTTACTCCTATGTAGCACACCAGGGCTCCTTTTCCTCTATGACCACTCCACCTCCTGCACCATCATGGTATGACCCCTCTCAGTGGGATTTCTTTGGAGGATCGAGCTCCGGTGGTGGAGGCTACGATGGTGGTTATGGCGGGGATCACATGGATGAGGACGGACACCAAGGTGGAGGTCTAGGCGGACACTAGGGATAGTGTCAGATCCTAAGTGTGGGGGTGCAGAGATCTTCCCGGATCCTGAGGGCGATTACTATAGAGAGTTCGGATTGAAATTGAAGACCCATCTTTACTCTTTTGGTTTTGGAGATGCTTTATGTATTTGTTATAAAAACTTGTGGATGTTGGTGTTGCTACCCTTGTCAATTAAGGACCCCTTGGACAGAATTTCTTTTACTCGAGACTAGTAAAAATTCAAGTGTGAGGGTGTTTGATATGCACTAGTTTATAATGCATAAACGTATGTTTTTATGTTGATTGAGTGTGGATTTTCCATCACTTTTAGTTAGTTTGTAAGTACTTGTTTTATTTTGTTTGTAATTGTTCTCTCCTTCTTTTCGGAGTTATAGAATAGTGATAGAGTTTGTAGCAAGGAAAAAGGGAGAAAAACTGAAGACAAAAAGACCCAGGAGCACAAAAACCCGACCGGGTCAGACCTTAAACCCGGTCGGGTCAGTTGAAGAACAGATCTAAGAAGAAAAAGTAAGACCCGATCGGGTCCCTTACCCGACCCGGTCGGGTCAGATATGACCCGGAACACCAGAACATGCTGAAGATCACAAAGATTTGGAAAAAAATCTGATTTAGACCAAACCCGGTCGGGTCCCTCACTTGACCCGGTCGGGTCTGACTTGACCCGGGATAAATTAACGTGCTGGAACAATGAAACGTGGGAGATTATCTGATCTTGACCGGTACCCGATCGGGTATGTACCTATACCCGGTCGGGTACCCGGTCAAAGGTGTTGAAAAACACCTATAAATAGCACTCTTTTTCTCCTCTAAAAATCATCCCTTCTTCCATACTCTTTAGCTCAGTTTAGAATAGCATTTCTTTATATTTTTCTAGCTATGTTTAGTCTCCAAATGAGGAGCTAAACTTCCATTCTTGGTGTTGCTCTTGAAGCTTGTTGATTATTAAAGTTGTGAGTTGTTTTCTTAACTTCTATCCTTGAATATTAATTAATAGTTCTTTCCTTAATATCATCTCTATATTAATGTTGGGGAGTGTTGCTAAGATGACAATTAGTTAACATCTCGACATTAGTTAGAATGGTATTTTCTTCCTCTATATTAATGTTGGGGAGTGTTGCTAAAATGACAATTAGTTAACATCTCGATATTAATTATAGTAGGATTCATCTTCTTTAATAATATTCTTCCTTGAATATTAATTAAATCCTACTCTTATTTCATATTAATATTTTGAACATTACTTAAAGGATCAACTAGTTTTGTTTCATATATGAATTATTACTAGAAACGATCAACGAACCGATGGTTAATCGTTGATGGTTTCACAAGTAAGTAACTTCGGTTTATTAATGCACGGTCGTGGTTAATAAACTTAAGAGGGATTAATTTTGTTGGTTAAACCGAAACCGCTTGTGTTGAGGTTATCAATCTCAATTGATTTCATCAAGGAGTTAGAAAGATTAAATGCTACTATTAAATCGGTATAAGGCGTTGTTCTATATTTGATTAATAGTAAGAGTTATTAATGAACGGTCGTTGTTAATAACTACCCTCGATGAAGTGGATATACTCCCCGATTGAGTATTCGAGAGGGAATAAGTTATAGATATAACAATGATCGACTAAAATATATCAACAAGTGGAAAGTAGCAATGCCAAGTCCTTTTTATCTTTGACTTAAATCTCATATAGGTCGTTCATCTTAGTTTTTAATTAAATTAAATCACTCAATCCAAACCCCTCCTTTATTTACTAAGTTTCATAAAAAGAGAATCATTCCTTTCCCTGTGGATACGAACTCTACTACGCTATACTACGTATAAGTGTTTAGTATTGAATTTATTTTGACGCACCGTGACAAAGTGCTCGTCAAATTTGGCGCCGTTGCCGGGGAAAGGCAATTATTTTTCTTTCTACTTTATTTCAAGAAAAAAAAACATTTAAAAGATTTCTATTTTGGCTGATCTTTGTTTGAGTATATGGTTAAACACTGATCTATAAACCAAATCACCTACCAAACAAAACCTGAAACAGAACAAGCCTTCGAGAGGTTCAGGAATCTATTTCCGAATACTTCTTCGGAGGAATCATCAAGTGCTAGTTCTCATTCTAGCGAATCCGAAGAGTCCTTCCACATGGCCCTGGAAACAAGAACGCTGAGGGAGCTAATGGCTCCGAATCTAAATCAACAACCCTTATGTATCACTTTTCCAACTCTTGATACGGGGGTCACATTCGAGCTAAAATCGGGGCTCATTCATCTACTTCCCTCTTTCCATGGCCTACGAGGGGAAGATCTAAATAAACACTTGTCAGAGTTCCATATTGTGTGCACAAGCATGTGCCCTAATGGCGTGTCCGAGGAGCAAATCAAGCTGAGAGTCTTCCCATTCTCTCTCAAAGACACCGCCAAAGATTGGTTATTTTATCTTCCCTCGGGGAACATCAATACATGGGCTCAAATGAAAAAGAGCTTCCTTGACAGGTACTATCCCGCATCTATCTCTTCAAGTCTCAAGAAGCAAATCAACAACATTGAGCAAGCGGATAATGAGACCTTATATGAATATTGGGAGCGCTTTAAAAAATTATGTGCTAGTTGCCCATATCATGGGTATTCAGAACAAGATCTCATCCTCTACTTCTATCTAGGAGAGAGAATTAGCCTGAACCACAAATTCTTTACTTAAAAGAGAAAGTGACAAAGTTAGTGGGATATTCAAAAAAGAAAAAGTTATCAAAATTTTAAGGGGAGGGAACATAAAAATAGACGAGAATGTATCAACCATTCTTGATGTACACACCCTTGTACATACCTTGACGGAGTATATGGCCCAGGGACCCCCGACCCACATACTTCCTCTACTACAATCAGGACCAACAGGCCCAAACGGACCAAGCCCAGCAAAATGGAGCTCTAAACAGCCCACAATACGCAAAGGGGTGCCTTCGGCCCCACGGCCCAAGGCTACTAGTGACAGAATCGAGCTCAGAAACATCACAGGAGAACAAGACTTGAAAACCAAGCCTTCGGCAACTGCAACTCTCGGCAGGTAGGAGCCCTCGGTTAGAAGAGGCATCACAGGAGAACAAGGCTTGAAAACCAAGCCTTCGGCACCTGCAACCCTCGGCAGGTAGGAGCCCTCGGTTAGAAGAGCCTTCGGCCCAACACCCTTCAGCCGAAGGCATCCACCTCGACAGAATATCCTCTTCACATGCGCCTGGATCACCGTACCAAGTACAAACGTCACATCCAACCACCGCATTTAATGCGGCCACATGCGAGTGCCAGTGCCTCCCCGATCGAGGTGACCCCTCGATCACCAGAAAACTGACACGTGTCCTTATCTAGCATTTATTACTACTATAAATAGAACCCCTTTCCCCCATTGTAAACCACGCTGAATACATATCGAATATACACTCTCTCTCTTACTTATTTGCTCTGACTTCTCTCTACTTATTCTCCGTAATAACCCCTCGGATAAGTTACCCCGGGTACACTATCCATCACACCTTATACACACCATGTTTGTGAAGCTTTTTTTTTGTCTGTGAATCCGGTTCACAGACAATATTTTATTTGTGTAAAACATTGTACAAAAACATTGTGAATCCGGTTCACAGACATAGGTATGTACAAAAGTGTGTATAAGAATTTGTACAAACATCATTTTTGGAGAATGTATAGTATGATTTGGTGCATATGATGCCACGATGCCTTCGGTCAACCCCATATTTTCGACTATCCAAGTGATTATAGGATGAAGAAATTAGGGCGGCGGTGTTAATTTGATATAAATGCATCTCTCTTAGAATTTGATTTGGTTAATTTACTTCCAGGTAAACTACCAGTGTTTGTTCCGTCAATTCACAATCTTCCCCTCTTTCCTCAATATGCTTCGTCGTTTTGAGTAATCGATTTTCACAGTCGCCGCTCCCCATGGCACTTCCTCTCGGCAAGGTCGCATTCCTCTTCGGAACCGGTCAGTTCATCCAAAGCCTCACCTGAGCATGTTCTATTTGTTGCCAATTTGTATGAATTACGCCTGTTTGGTTGTGTATGTGTTTGTTTTACTTTACCCAGAAGATTCGCTACCAGTGTACAAGTTACATTACTATCTATACAACTATCTTAGGGTTTCTTCATCAGCACAATTAAAATCTTTCTAAAAGCTGCACCTTTCTTTTCAAGCTCCAAGTTAGTACAGTTAAACTTGATTCGAAATAACATATGAAGCTTGTGTGGTGTGGGGTGACTTAACATTAGCTGTGGGATAACTTAATAGCTTGTAACTGTTGTGAGGCTGATGCCTGTAAGGCTTATTGGAGCAAATTGATTCTTAAATCTATTTGCTGTTTGTTGAGTTTTAGTCGGTCAGAGTGACTGCTCATAAGAGCAGGGGTGGAGAGGGACAGTGCCACTACTGTGCCAGACTCTAGACTTAGTGAGGGGTGTCAACTTATTTAAGTAATAGTGTTGTAGATATAATAACACCTTCATTCCAAAAACAAGTTTCCACTTTTCTTATTTAAATGCCTGGAATAAAGTTTCAATTTCCATAAAAGAATTTTTTTAATAGGAAAATATCACAAGTATCCTTACAGTGTGCTTGTTTTGACATAAAGTAGGGGCCTGATTAGAAATTCAAAGTGACTCTATCTTTTATAATTACGTGTATGTCAAAATTGAAACATGTTTGCTGGACGGAGGAAGTAATATCTATAAAATATAAAATAGCTAACTACTTCAATATTTTAACTAATAAATGTGACCCTTTTATGGGTTTCTGTGCAATGCTTAGAAGATTATGAATTATTTTCTCGTGTTAATTGATTCAATCATTCAGTATTGATTTCATTCTTAGCATTCTTCCTGTCGTCCTTCAACTAAACAAAAAATATATATTGAAAACCATTGCACAATAAAAACGTTTGACTCCCAATATCTTTCAATTTGTTTATCTCAAAACTCAAAATAAACCTGAAATGTATCTCAAGGAGGTTTTTTTGAATTATATATTTATATTATTTCACTTTTTAAATGAATTGTAGCAACATATTTTTCATATTATTAGTTTCTGTTTCAATCAGACTTGGAAAAAATATGGGAGATAGAGGGAGTAAATTTCATAAACTAACCTCGTTTAAAAATGTGATTTCGTTTTCAAAAATTTAATTTATATATGTAAACATGCACACATAGATAATTTTTAGTGGTATCAATTGACACCATAATCCAAACCTTATCTCTGTCCCTGCGTTTGGACATATTCAGCTGTTATGCCATATTAAATTCCTGCCATCCTAGAACCTAATAAGAAAAGTAATTCAAAACTTATACGAAGTATAAACCTAGAAAGAGTAGCTCAAACAACACATGTTACTTTCATCTTTATATGCAGCTGGTGTTGGAGGATTTAGCTGATAGTAATACGAAGTTATAAATAAATAGGGTGAAGGTCATTTAGATTGGCATTTCTTCATTTTCTTGTCAAATTCCTTATCATTTGCAAGTGGGTAGTAGTTTGCCTCTTTCTTTTGAGCATTTGGATTTCAGCACTGTCCAAATAAAGTCAAAGAATAAAATAAAAAACAATCGTCATTTGTATGCATGGTTTGGAAATGTGTGCACTTGAACCTTCATTAGTTCAGTTTTAAGTGATAAGTAGTTAATATCTTCATGCTGTACACTTTTTACAGTGATAGTACGAACTATGTTATCTAGGCAGGGAGTACTAGTCGGGTACACGCTACTCAGAGTAGGGCTTTGCCAATTAGTATTCGGCGATTTTCACTACTTGGTGGCAATTTTCACTCGCCGAGTTACTTGACAGGCAATAAAATTATTACTTTTGGGGTTAAATCTGCAAAATTTAAACTAAATTGGGATGTTATGGAATTTATGAATAATTAGTACATATTTTAAAAATTGGAAAAATAAGATTACAAAGTCAGTCTAGGTTTGTGGACATGGATGAAGAAAAAAATGATGACCTTAAACCCAATGAAGATTAATTTAGTCTTTAAGACAAAAGTTCGGAATCAAGTATTATTAGGTGATCAATTTTCTTGGTAGTTAGAAAGTTCATGATTGTTGAGATTTGTTGCTACTTCATTATCAGGATTATTATTATTTTATTCATATTTAAGAATTATAAGACTAACACATTACAAGCATTTTGAGGCATTTGTGTTTTTTAAGTTTAATTAATACATGGCTGAGTAATCACCGAGTAATCGGTACTTCTCGTGACTTGGCCCTTGACTGAGTTGCCACTGAGTAGCGATTTAAATACTTAGAGTATGTAGTATATTACTTCCAAACAATAATTTAAAAATCGGTTGGTGCTCATGGTGGACAGTGATGTAGCGCCTCGTCAGACCAATGTTGTAAAATCAGTTGATGCCTCGTGGTGGATAGTGACCTAGCGCTAAGTCAGTGATTAATTGCAGTTAGTCAGGGTATTAGGTGTAGTCAGGGTATTTGGTATAATAAAATTAGGTGGGGCATGGGTGGGAAAACACCTTGACATCAAGGAACAAGTAGCGCCTAGGTGGGGATTATTTGGGACCATGCAGGATTTGTACAACAATGCTTTTAACTAATATTGTTGTTTCTCGAGCAATGTTATCATTATCTTACTGAAGCCTGAATCAATCAAGTGCGTATTTGCAGGCGTTGTGGTGTCAGCACTTGCTAAAGAATCAAATGCAGCTGATTATCTCTCAGGTGCCTTCAAGGTATGTTTACTATTTCTTCATTAAATATTCTAACTGTTTCAAACTTCATCCTTATGTCGATTGCTGAGTATCTTTTGGTTTTGGTTAAATCTCTTACTCTAGCTCACTGGTTCTCTGTTGTAGATTTTGTGGAGACAACTCAAGCAAGATAATTCAAAAAATTCAAATCTTAAGCCTCGTAGTGATGCTTTGTTGCAGCAGGTTTGCAATGTGCTTTCATGTATGTTTTTTTAAATTTGTTTTTGAAAAGTGATGTTATTGCATGTTTTTAAGGCTCTCTGACTTTCTAAAAGTGAAGTTTTTTAATATTTTTTTGTGCTTTGCTAATTATGGTCATAAAGTTGTACTATTTTTACTATAAAGTTAGATGTGAAATGCATATGTTCTCCTTTTGTGAATGGTATATCAAGAATCAAAGCCAACCACGGGGGAAAATATATTTTGCTCCCTTTGTGGCAGATCTTTAGTCAACTTTATAATGTGTTACAACAAGCATTGAAGCATCATTTTTCATCATGTTTTTTTTTGCTTTTCAGTTTTTGCACATGTAGTTTCTCATGTGATGTAGATCTTTTATACCAAAATACCCCCAGAGTCCCAATATATGTTTTCTATTATGAGAGAAACCACATTTACCGAATTACCGATACCAGACACATCTAAGGACAACATTTGCTTGGCATTAGGCATCTGGGACTAATCATAGGACTCTAATAGTCTTTTGCATCTGTGGTTATGGTTTTTTTACGGTTGGAAGCATGGCTCTTGAAGTGTCATATGGTGAAACCTTTCCCTTTGGGGGAAAAATAAAGAATCAGATAAGGGGAATAAAGATGATAAAACGGTTTCTTTGCTGTTTTATAATTGCTATTTAATTATTTGTTTCTCACGTGAAGCATTCTATTATGTATGCTGTCATTGATATGCTCATGCTGAGCTCTGCTAGGAACTTCAACTAATAATGTCTTGACTCATGAGGTTTTAGTTGTAGGGTTTGAATTTACATTTACCTTTACAGGTCAATAGCTTGCGAGAGGAGCTGCAGCTCTTGGCATCTAATAATAGATCTATAACCATTGTTACTTCAGGTGGTTCAGGTCTGTGCAAGTTATAAATGAAAGAAACCACTTGACTTTTTGTGCATCTGTTTATAGTTTTATACACGTCTGATTGACGGATCATTAATACCGAATATTGATAGCTACAATGCACGTGTTATTACATTCCATACATAGTAATGTTCCTATCTCTAAACTGTTGATGCTAATGATCAACATAACAAACTTACCTAATCATTTAACTTTCCACATTGCATGCACTGGCAATGATATTCAGAGTTTTTTTATCAGAACCAAACCTCTGCTGCCCTGTATTTGCAGTATTAAAATATGAAAATTCTTTGCAGGCTCAAGTGGTAGATATGGCTTGATCATTGTTGTTGTGGTGGTTGGATATGGATATATTTGGTGGAAGGTCTCTTCTAACTTATGTTGATAAACATTTCCTTGTTTATTTTTCAGTGAAAATATACAATGTTATTTAATTTGGTTTCACAAATCACTCGATCATAAACTGAACAGGCCTACATTAATGTGAAATTTCGATGTTCATTTTTTCTGTTACTTTTCCCATTTCAAGATTTTTCTGTATACCGTTTTCATATTTGGTGCTGTTCTAAAACAACTTTATATCTGCAGGGCTGGAAGCTACCTAATTGGATGTTTGCAACCCGGCGTGGCTTAAATGATGCCTGCTCTGCTGTGGCCAAACAGCTTGAGGGGGTTTACACTTCAATTTCGGCAAGTTTTATCTGCTTGATTACTTGATAGTAACATTTACTCTACACAAACATATACACGCACCTCTACTCATTCATATTGGTTTATATAATTGAAAGTGCTTTTTTTAAACTAAGAAAAATTAGAGAGTTGAGCAGTTTATACATGACCTTGATGTTTGTAAAATACATTAAATCTGCTGTCATTTAGAAGTACGCTTCACAGCCATAAACTCTGAATAGTGAAATTTCTGAAAATACAGTTAAAATAATCTTGCGCAATATTAGCTCTTTTGTTTTATGATTTTATCACATGCTTTAGTGTGTATAAGATTATGAAAATACCTAAATGTTTTACTTTATAGAAGTACATGGCATAGGGTGATAGGGCTCTTTCATGTTTCAACAACCTAAACAGTCTTCCCTAGCTAAATTTTGTTTGTGGTTACTTGATTCAAGAGTTGTACCAATATTTAATAGGGTTATTGCATTGTAAATGCAATTATCGTCTCATGCTATGGTTTTGTTATCTATTCCCAGGAAACAAAAAAACATTTATCTTCTCGAATCAACCGTCTTGATTCCAAAGTAGATGAGTGTGCTGACAATACAGCTGCAATTAGAGAGGAGGTGGGATCTTTAAAGTTACAGTTAGCTGTCTTGTTCTTCATTGAAAGTTTTAACTTTAACTTTAATTACACCTCCTTATTCTGTCACTTAGGTTTCTGAATTTAGAGGGGAGGTGAGAACACTTGGTAATGATCTTGAATCAGTTACCTTTGTTGTCCAAAATCTGGTAATTTTTTTTTTCATTTCCTTGTGCTAGTTGTGGTTATTTCGATTTGTAGTTTTGTACATTGGGTTGCAAACTAATTAAATTTGTTATGCGACACAGGAGACCAAAATTAGTAGAATAGAAGGGAGACAGGTATAATCTGAACTAACTGCTAAATCTCACTAATACTTATTCAAATAGTTTTTGGTGCCTAATAGCCAGTGGTGTTGTTTTGATTTGTAGAGGGAGACAAACTTTGTCCTGGGAAAGTTGATTGCTTATTCAAGAAATTTAGAAAAAAGTGAAGGCATGGAGCAGATTGAGGCATGAGAAATATTATCGTCGTTAATGCTATATTTTCTTTGGTTATACTTTGTTTCTTGTTAACCTCATTTCACAATTCCACAGGCATCTGCGTCATGTTCAATCAATACTGCTCTTGAATTTCCAGCAGCAACTCCGACCCTTCTTGTATGCTTGCACTAATTTCTGCCTATTTACTATAATGAATATGGGTGCTGGGTTGGTGGTTTGCCTTCTTGAAATTTTGTGGTAAAAAGTCTCCTCAGTTTTCTTCTCCCATGGGCTGTGTCACACTCTGTAAACTTTGGCTGTCACTTAATCTTTTAAGCTACGAGTAGATTTAAACAAATAGTTTATATATAGACATACATACATACTTATATACATATACACACTTATTTGGTAAAAAATCTCACATTTCATTTTTTATAATAAAAATTCTTGCTACATAATGTAAATGTCATTAAATATGGATTAAGCACAAACATTACTTATGAAATAAAATAATACGTAGTATAAAAGAACGGTTTATTATAAAACTGTGTGTGTGTGTATATTGTGTACAACAACATCCAAGCCTTAGTCCCAAAAGATATTGGGGTCGGCTAACATGAATCGATACATGATATCACAACCTTTTCATATTTCGATTCATGTCATGTGATGTGACTAGGTGATACTGTTGGCCGTCACACGCCTACCACAGCACCCTCCTCCTTTATCCTGGCTTGGGACAGGCATGATACCAAAAAAATGATATCATGGCGGAGTTTGTGTGTATATTGTGTACGTGTTACAAAATTAATAAATTTTGTAAACATCTATTTGTAGCTTAAAGAATTAAATGGCACACCCGGGGTTATACCTTGGTGCACAGGCAGACCTGTTTGAAGATTCCTGAGCAGATGCTGTTGTATATTAGTGAGGCAAAAGTACCACTTATATGCATCTTTGCGAATCAAACACATATGGGCTGAATTTCTTCGTGCTATATTGCATAGTAGTTTCTTGCATGGAAGTATAATCTAGGTGCTCATTATTTATGTTATCCTTGGTCTTTGCAGGTTGAATCCACTTCCTGTTCAACTGTTGAACCACCATCTCCATTTTCTTCCAATGGATATGAGAAAGTTAGTAAATGATTTATCAGTTCTTAATACTTGAGTTAACCTGCGTGGTAAATGAAGCAAATATTTCCTCCTTCCCTTAAAACTTTGCCAAGTTTGACCGGCACGGGAATTAATAAACTAAAAACTGTGTGGTTGAGGTTTGTGCAGAGGAGAGAACTAATTGGAACCACAAATTCTTTACTTAAAAGGGAAAGTGGCAAAATTAGTGGGACATCCAAAAAAAGAAAGTTGACAAAGTTTTAAGGGACGGAGGGAGTATAACTTGCTGTAGAGGGCTAGCAAATCGAGTTAGCGAAAAGCTCTAGAAAAAAATCATGATACGCTTTGTAGCATGGCATATAGTCATTTTATATCTTTCATTGTTTCTGTTTTTTCAGGGCTCCCTGCATAGAGGTCTGTCCACTGGTGCAAAGGTAGACGTCTTCCATTCTTTCTTGATTCTTCTACTATTATCTTCTTATTATGCCAAGTAAGGCTCCTTAACCAGGAATCTTTGTTTAGATTCACCATGGAATATCAGATGTGGTAGGGTTGATCGGTGGAGTCGGTCCTCACATCCAAAATACACATTCAACAACAGAAGGGGCAAACCCTCAACATTCAAATTCAACTTTTGGTTTGTCTGGACGCACACTATCTGCCAATGCTGCAATTCTTACAAGAAGCCGAGGGGCAGTTCAGACTTTCAATTTTTGATCGAAGGTATATTCTTAATGCATGTGAGGAGAGGTTCCTGGTCTTGACATCTTAGTTTTACTGCCCCAATCTGCGAATGATGGAGCTCATGCCACCGCTTGTTCTCTTTTGCAGCTGATTTTTCCTGAGCCGGAGCTTGCATGCAAGGCTGCAAAGCATGTTATAGTGTTAATTTAGAGTTCAAGTGTGTTTTTTGTCAACTCGAGTAGATATGATAAAGCAGAAAAGGTGGACCTAAGGTTGAAGTAGACGTGTGCCAACCCTTTCTTTAGAAAGCATCCTTGGTAGTTGACTAGTTTGGTACATTGCATTATTTAACTGGGTATTTTGTTTAGGGAAAAATATTTAAAATACCCGGTGTTTTTATTTAGGTGTTTTTATTTAGGAAAAAGTATTTAAAATACCCCAAACTTTGAAGGGGTGTGAGATAAACACCTCAAACTTTCATATGTAATTTAAATACCCCAAACTTTTTATAAAAAGTTATTTTAACACTATGGTCATGTTCACGGCTAACATTTTTTTAAGAAAAGTTTTACATTCTCAATTTCTCAAAACCCTAATTAATGAAATTGTTCATCTTCTTAACCCATTGATTCGTCGATCTATTATTCATGCTCAGTTAGGGATGGACCCGGTCTGGTTTCGGGCCGGGCCCGGGTAGGCTTTTTTTGAAAAATGTTGGGCCCGGAACCGGCCCGGGTTAATACCGGGTCCGGGCCTAACCGGGCCGGGCCAGGCCTGGGTCAAGTTCAATTTTTTTTTTTGGTTTCTAATTAACACCTGACCCCCCCCCCCCTTCACCCCCCAAAACACCCAACCCTAACCTAGAAAAGCAAAAAAAATTGAATTTTTTTCTAATCGGGCCTGACCTGAATCGCCCGGGCTGGTTCACCAAAAGTTGGGTCCGAGCCCGGCCCGCCTGACCCGCCCAAACGGGCTAAAAGCCCGGAACTGACCAACCGGTCCTGGTCCGGTCTTGGCCCAAACAGTAACGGGCTGGGCTGCCCCGGTTTAGTCCATCCCTATGCTCAGTTCATAAATTCAACAAGTAAAGAAAAAATGATGTAGATTTGAAGTAAAATATTGACAACGTTATTACTTTTGAATTTAGTGTATTGATCCAAATGTGAAAGAGTAGTCATGACTATTGATCATGGGTGGACCGGTTCCGGTTCGGGCTCGGTTCAGCTGGGCTTCGGTTCATGTAATTTTTTTTTGGCTTTTCCTAATTAACCCCCAACCTTCCCCCCTCACCCCCAAATCACCTCAAATGGCCCATCATACCCAGCCCAACCCAAAAACTTAAAAAAAAATAATAAAAAAAAAAATTGGCCCGGACCAGGCTCGAACCGGCCGGGCCGGTTCACTATTTAGCAGGCCCGGGCCTGAACCGCCTACCTCACCGGGTCGGGTGGCCCGAACTGGGCACCAACTGGTTCACTGGGTCGGTTCGGGCCCGCACAGTAGCAGGCCGGTTCGGTTCCGGGCCGGTTGGCCCGACCCGAGTCCACTCCTACTATTGATCCAAATGCGACAGCGTAGTCGTGACTATTGCACCTAAGACTATTGATCCAAATGCGAAAGAGTAGTCGTGATGAATATTTCTTGACTGTTTGCGATTCTTCATTCTATCCAATTTTTCAATACTTATATAGTGATTTTTAACCACCCAAAATATCTGCAGAAAGGCCATATATGACGAAAAACAAGTCATGTATCAAAAGAAAAAAACAAAAATAATCAAAGTCAAAGATTCACACTAATTATGAAATTAGTGTGATACTTTAGGATAAAACTTTTGAGCTTGTTTAGTTACTTGATTGATACGGTGTATCATGGGCAGTGTTGTCGTGGCATTGGTCTGGCGGGACTGAGCTACTCTTCATGGAGCAAATAAATTTGGAGTTTCGCACTAGGAGATAGGGGGATGTGGAGAAAATTGTGCTGGGCTATTGGGCTATTTGGAGTGAACGGAATCATCGCATCTCGCAGGGGAAAGCTTCTTTGGTGCATCAGCTTATCAACCAAGGAAAAGCCATGGTTCAAGGTTGGACTCAAGCACAGGGGAATCGCCTGAACAAGGGGTCGCGGGAACTGCTATCACGCAGCACTTGGAGCAGGCTAGCAAGAGGAAGTTTAAAGCTGAACGCTTGAACGTGGATGTGGTGGTCCGGGCGTAGGGAGGTGGTCTTGGCTGGTGCGTGCGGGATTAGGGATAGACCCGGACCGGTCCGGTTCTGGTTCCGGGATGGGCTCGGACGGGCTTTTTGTTTTTCAAACTGTTGGGCCCGGAACCGGCCCGGGTTGATACCGGGCCCGGGCCTAACCGGGCCGGGCCAGGCAAGGGTCAAGGTCATTTTTTTTTGCTTTCTAATTAACCCCCGACCCCCCTCACCCCACCCCCAAACCTCCCCAAAACACCCAGCCCTACCCTAGGAAAAGAAACAAAAAATTGAAAAAAAAGCCCGGCCCCGGCCCCGACCCGAACCGCCCAGGCCGATTCACCAAAAACTCGACCCGAGCCCGCCCCGCCCGACCCGCCAGACCCGCCAAGACGGGCTAAAAGCCCGGAACCGGCCAACCGGACCCGGTCCGGTCCGGGCCCGCACAGTAGCGGGCCGATCCGGTTCCGGGCCGGTTCGGCCCGGCCTAGTCCATCCCTATGCGGGATGATGACGGTAGATTCATTATGGGGGCTGCATGCCCGTGGCCGTGGAGAATTACGCCGCTTAATGCAACATTAATTGGGATCAAGGAGGCCCTTAGCTGACTTAAAGGTTTTGGGTGGACCTCGGTGGAGGTTGAGACATGCATCCTGAGCTATTGGGGAGATTGTGTACGGTTCTAGCTGTTCTTCGATTGGTTTATTAGGAGACGATATCCGGGAATTGACGAAACATTTTTCGTTCATTACTTTTTGTCATACTAAGTGATCATCGAACAAGACTACCCATGCTTTGGCCAGAGTAGCTTATTCTTTGTCCGATTTGCGATCCTGACTTTCTTCACCACCATCTTTAAATGTATCTGCTCTGAACAATGATTTGATTAATATTAATTAATTTTTATTCTTGCAAAAAAATATATAACTAGCACATTTGAACAAAGAAGTTGTATTTGAATGCAAAACCAAATTCGATAATGATAACAATCCGACATTAGAAATCAGAAATTAAAAAGAAATGCATCAACAAAAAATTAAAAATACTAATAATTTTGGGAGGAAGGCATCGAGCATTTAGTTTTCTCACTACAACTCCCACGCAATAAATGGCATACGTAATCGGTCATAAGCAAGCATTTCAAACTTACAGTAGAAAAAGAAATTCAACCTCCAATCATTAAGGGGGACTATTGCTATTTTTCTGCACAACTTTTTAATTTTACATAAGACTTATAAAGGAAAGGTAAAAAAAGTGAGTGGCTTAGGCACAATATATTAGAGAAGAAGACAGTAAAAATAAAAGAGGGTGGGGCCAGGCAGCAAAAAGAGCCAAAACCTCAAACCTCATAAGCTCTCTATCAGATGTAACATGTCTCCTGCCCTCTTTGGAGGTCCCTTTCCATTCCAGCTCCAAAGTCATTGAGGGTTGCAGCCCTCACATGAACTGAAACAGTGACCTTTCAAATAACATTCCTCATCCATGGATTAATGGGTTTATTAATTAATGATGTTTTCATCATGGGGCCATCATGTTTAGCCTTAAATAGCTCCCTGGATTAAGAAACATGTCCTTCTGAGACCTACCTGCTTATTATACACTGCATAGTATAGCCCTACACTCCATGAAACATTATACATCACATGCCCCATGCATACATACATGCATAACAGGTCAGTGTCACTATTATTAAAATTTCAATAATTAAGCATGGTTATATGTATAAGTGTCCTGTGTGTTTATATTTCATGCATACCTGTTTCCGCAAATTAATCTAAGCACCAAGTGTTTATTGAACTATGTATTTGCCCTATTGTAGTCAATAAAGTCTAATTTGCCTGAAATGTTCTAATAATCAGCTTGCTAATACAGTGATACCTCCATGTGTTATGTACGTGTTGAGCTGTTACAGAATAAATGTTTTATTTGGTAAGAAATGTGGTCCGTATAATTCAAATAGATCAGATTAAAACAGACTAGACTAGCTTAAATAATACTCCCTCCGTCCCGGAATTATCTTCATTCTTTCCTTTTCGGGCCGTCCCAATTTTATCTCCTTATTTCCCTTTTTAGCAACTTTTACCCTATTCATTTACCCTAATACCCTTACCCATCTACCCCATTTATTACTCCTAATAAATCTAACCGGCCACCACCACCCACCCAACCCTACATATCCTCACTTTTTTACGCTCTTCTCTCTCATGTCTCACTGTATTCCTCTCTGGTCTTTTCTCGAACTTTCTCTCTTTCTCGTGTGATTACAGACGCTCCTCTCTCTCTCTCTCCCCTTTGCCTGAACTTTCATCTTCTCGCCTCTAACTCCATCTCCCTTCTCTATGTTCAGCAACCCTAGTTGCCGTCTTCGGATTTGTGCAACCTTTGTGAAGTCTTCTCCATCGACACCAGATTTGAAATTCTAGATCCATTAATGGCGGAAAAAACCTCTATCTTTGTCTTGCATGGGTGTGCGGTGGTTGAAGACTCAGACGATGTCTCTTGTTGGCCCGATGTTGTCCCTGATTCCGAAGATGATCTCACATTGATGAGGGTTGAAGACAGTGCAGAAGGAGATTGGAGTGATGCTGGGCAGACAGTTGAAGGATTACCAGAGGGGTTGTAGTCGGACACTATGGAAAATAGGATTCCAACCTCCATTGAGAGCATGGCCTCCATTTACCTTCGTCCTGTAGATACAACGACAGGGGAGTATTTTCCACCTGCGTATCTTCCTCCGCATCTAGTCCCAAAAGTTCAACAGCGCCTAGAAGAATTGATTAAAATATGGCTACCTCTTTACAAAAAACGAAGGTCGTACCTCCCTACTTACTAAACTTTTCATCTTCTTCTGAGGTGCATGGACTTGTAATGTCCATTACATGATGCATGCATGTTTTCTGATACACAAATGTTGATATACGTGTTCTATTATGGCCTATTTGTGGATGCCTATGTGTGTACTGTGTTGTTGTTGCCTAAGAGATGTCTGCCTTAAGAAACTAGGATAATCCTATGGAAGCTTAAGGCAGTGTTCTATGGATTCTGTGATTGCTTTTATATTCTGAGAGTCCTATTTGTTGCACAAATGTTGATATATGTGTCCTGTTATGGCTTAGGACAGTCCTCTATGTATTCTGTGATGCTGTGTTGAAGTCTGAGAGTCCTATTTGTTGATGCCAAACTGAGAACTGCCTTAAGCATCCAGGGTAGTCCTAGGAAGGCTTAAGGCAGTCCTTTATGGATTCTGTGATGCCATGTTGAAGTCTGAGAGTCCTATTTGTTGATGCCAAACTGAGAACTGCCTTAAGCATCCAGGCTAGTCCTAGGAAGGCTTAAGGCAGTCCTCTATG